TCTCCAGTTTAAACAAAAGAGATGCCACGTTTCTGGTGGTGGGCCCAACAGCTGCTGTGGGTCTTGTGGAAAGAGGAGAGTCTCTCCCTTGACCTCAGTAGTATTGTCAGTGTATCCCCACAGGTCTAGAACCACTTCATGTTATTTTTGCTACTGTCACTGACTCAGATTGTAAATTTACTTTGCATGATTACTTTTCCCTTCCCCTTACCTAGAAAAATGTAGATACCAGTTTGTAGCACTCATGTAAAATACTTGTAACTCATCTTGATACCCTTAGATGACAGGAATGCTTTATTTGAAGAATAAGATGGCTTGTTTTTAATCTGTGAGTAATTAATTTTAAAGCTTTTTAAATAAATCTGTGATTGTTACAAGCACAGAGTAAGCTGACAAAACCAAACAGAGGGGATGTGTGTGCAAAGGGGGAGACAGTGTCAAGAAATACTGTGTAATTGCATATCCAAGCATCTATATTTATGTGAAAACATTGAAGATCATTTGTGCTCCTATAATGTTTTTATGCCAATGGAACCTGTTAAACATCTTCCAGCGTTAACAAGTAACTGTTTCTAGACTGAAAGATGGCAATTGTTTAGAGATAAGACAGAGAAAATAGTTGCACAAACCCTTAGTAGCAAAATAGTTGCAAAATCATACAATTCCTATAATTGTATGATTATAGGAACATTGCACACTAATTTCCTGTTGTCTTTTAGCCAAAAAACAGTTGTCTAATCAAGCATGAATTGGACTTTTAATTTGTTTTAAATGCTTAAATGAATTTCAGTTAATTTAATTGAGTTTTTCCTCAGGTAAGCATTTGAAACATGCAGGAGAGGTGTATGTCAGGGGTAAAGAGGGGAGGAGAATAAAGGAGAAGTAGATGCTTGCCACAGACCTTAAAATGTGTGTGCTTTTCAATATTTTTATATTTATAAAAGGCATAGCCTGATAAGTCATGTTCTGTACAGCCAAGCAAGAAAATACTGAAGGTGTTCTATAATTAAAGAGAGCATTTCGAGCATGTGTGTAGTGATAGTCACAGAATTTTTCTACATATACTGCAATGTAATTGGGGAAACTCACCTGCAGTTAACAGGGTTGTTGGTGTTGCCAGGAAGAGTAGCTTAAGTAACTGAAAAGAAAAGAAGCACTGTTCCTCCTCCTTAAAATATGATATAAGCAGTGGTCTCTTGAGTGCATTAACGACAACAAAATCCAGAGCAGATCATAAAGGTGTCACTGGGGAGGGAAAAATTGGGTATTACAGATTCACTAGTCTCAAAATTGAGCATTCAACGAGGGTGCATTTTAACTTTCTCCTAACAAATCCTTTATAGGTTTCCACAAACCCTGTTGCACTGAAGATTTTTAAGACTATAGCAGGAAAAAGGAAACTGCCAGTCACAAAAATCCCTGAAATAATGAAAAGTGATACGTTTTTGCATCGCATCAGGGCCTGTTTATAATCTCCCACAGGAAACATGCACTCCTGGCCATATTTGTCCTTGTGGTCCTGCACAGGTGTTCCTTTTTATGTTTGGCTTTTTTTTTTTTTCTTTTTCTTGCTGCACGTGTCAGGGTTTCTCTTTGCTCGATGCAGCTGCAAGGAGTAGTGACAGTCAGGTGGGTTTTCCTTGGAAAAGCAGTTTTTTCATACACAAAGGGGAGCAGTTGTAGCAAGAGCAACTCCTCCTGTCTCCCTGTTGGGAGCTGCAAAGCAAGACCTGTAGTTAGACGCTGTCTTCTTTCCAGCTCTCCATTTGCTGGCAAAAGTGCAGGGCAGGGACTAATCCTCTTGGAATGCAGCCATTACCACTAAATAAGTATTAATTGCTGCATTCCAAGGGGATTAGCACAGTTGAACCCAATTATGGCAAATCGAAGCTGCACTGTAAGGCACTACAGTGCATTGAGATGCAGTGAAGCAGTGTAGGACTGTCAGTCTCCAACATTTTATCAATAAAAATTGTGGGCTTATACACTATAAACAGCAGACCATTTCTTTTCAGTGTCTTAGTCTGAGTGGCATGCCTGGCTGGAAGCTACAGCCTGCTCACCAGTGAAAATTGTTGCTTTTTTTAACACCCATTATCTTTGTGTGAACATCTCAGAAACGTTTTTAATACTTGTTGAGTTAATTATGGCACTGCAAGCATCACTCCCTGCTGGACCAGGGGCAAGGCTCTGCAGTCTGTCTGGATTCTCACATCTCTGAAGTCGGCCAGCTCCTCCATCAGGTGATGTAGGAATTAATTTTGCCTGCAAGTGTTAACTATATCAAATAGGCTTAGGAGAGCTCCTGATAACCGACCTGTTCTCAATCCCAGCAGTCTGCAGTGATGATTACAGGCATATCTCTGTGGTAGCAATACAGGAGCCAGAGGGCAGTGTGTAGTTATATATATATTTTTTAATCCTCAGCTTGACTGTGGTGTGGGTTTGTTTTTTTTAGTTTTCATTTATTTCCTGTTAAAACTGCAAACCCTGCTGCTTTTTTTTTTTATAGTACAGTCAAAGCATAACCAGTAAGCATGAAAAGGGAATGCTTCTGGGAATGAATCAGCCCCTTGCATTAGAGCTGTTCCAGGATTTTTTGTGTCCAGAGAAAGGATGGCATATGGATGCACAGAACCAGTTGAATGTATGCCTTGACTACTTTATGAAAGATCTTATCCTTACAGATAATGAGCTGCACCTTAACCAGCATTAAACACACTGAGCTGTACTTGGGGACCACTTCAGTTCCCTGACCCATTCTGCTTCAGGAACCACAGATCAAATATTGCAGTCTTCCCAGTGCGGGTAATTCTTGAGAATGTACTTCCCTCCACCCATGTGTTTAGATGAAGAGTCAAGTTTAGCTGAGAGCTTTTCTTAACACAGCAGGAAGAGTTTTATATTTCTACTGTGGCCTTGTCTGCATTGAGAAAAATTGCTGCTGGTTCAGCTGAACGAGGGTTGGCATTCATTTCTAGTCCAGGGTTAACAAAGTCCTTACAATCTGACTGAAGTGAGTAAACTGAAACATCAGTATGGTTTAAACTGTTGGGAGAAGTGCATTTGCAAGATTGGGCAATGCACAATGTGGGCAGGAGGTGCTGAAGTTTTTATAGCTCCTGGAGATGCAAAGACTAGAAAGGTTGAAAAGAAGGTGACACTCTAAGCAAACCATTCCTCGTGGTAGAATTGCAAGCCTTATGAACACTGAAAAACTTTTTCCTAGAGAGGAGACCACTTCCCCTTTATCTTTTCCTCTACTGCTTGTCTGCATGTGATTTGCATCTCTCCCACACCATGCTTGTTGTGAGAATAATTCATAACACAAGCATGAGTGCTTTTCTGTATACTTTGATTATATTTGGATAATGATAAGCTTGCCTTAGTTCAAAAGCTGAGGTATGGGGAGGTGGGAATTTCTAGGGGCGCCGTCATGCAAAGCCTTTTTCTGACTCTACCCACGCTTCCAAGTGAAGTCCATATACTCAATTTCTCTGACCTTTCCCTATCTAGACATGAAAACACACTGGCCCAACTGCTGTTCTCCCAGTGTGCCTACTGTTGCTATTAATCTCTCTTTCTTATACAGCTCTTCATTTCTTTTCCTTACCTTTGGCCTCAGCTCTTTATTCAAAGTGATAATTTGCTGGCTTTCTGCCGGAGGGAGAAGCTATGATCAATAACAGGAGGAGACAGAGGTCAGTGGAATAGTGATGAGCAGTGCCATCTGCTTCTCTGGAAACACCGTTACCCAAAAATATCAATAACTAGGATGATATTTCAGCTTTTGGATGAGGCATCAGTGAGATTGAGGCAGCCAGCTGTGAGAGCAGGGGTCTTTTTTCTGCTCACTAATTCCTTGTTTCAGCCAATCTTCTGTCACACAGAGATGTGGACAGAAAGGGCTTTATCCAGCTTGCACTGGAATATAGAACATGTCCCTGAGCACAGCATTTCTGGGGCTAATGACACCTTGCTCAGGTTCAGTGCATGGCAGCTCTCCTGGGCTGTGCTCTGCTTTCTGCCTGGGGGTGCCAGAGCCCATCTCCAGCCTTTTCTTGGAACTTTTGGCGCAGAAGAGCCACAAAGAAAACCCTCCCCAGGGCTGGGAGAGAGCAGACTCCATATCACAGAAGGGTGTGCTGCACTATTACACCTGGTGCTAGACTGCTACTAGTGTCTAGTACTTTTGGTACTGACTGGCACAACACATAATTAATCAATTAAAGGAAGAGACTCTTTTATCCATGTATTAGCCTTATTACTCCAGACAGCAAGGTGACAAATTTCTTCCAAGAACTTCAATTTACTTTGTCTTCAAAAGTCTTACCTTTTTGTGTGCACAATAATTCTCATCCCACCATACTTCAGGGAAATTTTTGTCATCTGTTTCTGGACCTCCTGGGGATGCACATTCCTCTTTCTTTTCTAAGAATTAGAGACAGGAGAAAAAAAAATATGCATTGAGATGCTTGTACTTCCTCTCAGCCTAAGCTCTGCTCCTCAAGTGCATTATTAGTATTACTGTTGTAAACATTAAACATTCAGTGATCTGTTGAGCCAGATGTATTTTGATGGGAGTGAGGCTGAGCTTTAAGCCATTAGGTTTATCTAAGCTACATTTTCAAGCTTTTCTAATTCACAGTTGTCCAAAATGAACTTTCATTTATTAATGAAAAAGTGAAAATTTTTATTTGCCTGCATTCGAAAAGAGGCAATAAAAACTCAGAAAGTGTGAGTTAGAAATGAGTTTTATATCTTTATGAGGTTAGACAACTATATTGTTCAAAAGTGACTATAACTTACAGTTTTAAATTTCTATTTATGCCCTGTGCTGCACACTGGGAATAGTTGCACAAACCACTTTTTGAAGTCAGGTCAAATTCGATACCAGAAACAGAGACCAGCAGCTGCTGAGTGGGGATGATCTAGGAGCCATCAGACAAAGTGGAAAAAAACCAACTCACAGCAAAAACCTTGTTGCAGAGAGGAAAAGGATGAATAACAAAGGAAACCCCAAACATCAGTACCAAGAAGGCAAACCCCAGCCCTCAGAGGCTGTGAAGGCAGAGGAAGCCGGCAGGTGGACTCCGAAAGCTCTCATAGGAGCTGAGCCTCTTCCTGTGGCGGCCACACACCAGCACAGCCCGTGGAGGAGCTTCTTCATCTTCTTCTTCCTCTTCTCTCCCGTTCCCAGCACTGTCTGGCCTGGCAAGATGAAGAAGTGGAGGAGGATCGCCATCCTTGCCACCCTGCAGGCTCAGCTCCCAGGCACAGGTAAAGGCGGGCTTTGGGTTTGCCAGGGGTTCCCGTAAAGCTCTTTTGAGGAAAGGCTGCGGCGTTTCACCACCATTTTGGTAGCAGGAGGTGTCTGTGTGAGCACCTTGGCCATGTCTGCCCCCTGTGAAGGAGAAGGGGGATCTGCTGTGTTGAACTGGCCTGGGATAAAGAGGAAGGAAGGGATGAGGGGCACTTCTCCTGCTTGAGCGATGCCACAGCTGAACAGTAACTAAACAAAGCTCCCAAGCCTCACTTGGGCAGCTTTCCCTGCGATTCCAAAGGGGAGGTTTAAGGCAGTGATGGAAGTGTTGTCACTTGAAGTAAACTGCATGGAGAGGTTTCTCATGGAGCTGGGCTGCGGGTTTGTGGCCCACAGCAGAGCTGGCAGGCGGGAAATGGGGCACAGGTGGTGACAAAAGGGCAGGGCCCTTCCCCTCATGTCCCTGCCGGCTGCTCCTCTCCACCAGACACAGCACAAAATGAAGCCATTTCTTCCTTTGTGTTATTTATTTGTGTGGTGCACAGGCTGGCCCTGCCTGGGCACTGAACGGAGCAGCTTCGGTGTGCACAGATCTTCCAAAGTCATGTAAAGTTTGAGAAGGAGGCATTTACTTTTTAGGAGCATAGTAGATCAAAAGGCCAACAAAATTTACATCTGGAAAAGACCTCAGGTGAGGTCTGAATGTGCCATAGGCCATATCTGAGCTTGCGTTAGAGCCAAATCCTCTGGAAGATTTCCCCCTCAATGTACACCCTGGCTGTACTTAAACCCAGCATCCTCCAGAGCTTGGATGACTGCCACAGACATTTTATTGGAAAGTTTTCTGGGGATGAGAGGAGGATTTTGCAGCTGCTTTCCAATGCTGTGGAACCAGTCCTGATGATTTCTGGTGTTTTTCTTTCAGGAGGGTTTTGAGGGGATTTATGCTCCGTGGCAGGCCATGATTTGTGTTTGTCTTCCCTTCAATGTCTGGGGCCTCTGTCCCTTTCTGATACTCAAATATGATCCTGTACTTTAGTATACTTCTCATACTTTGTGCCTTGCTCTGTATCCCCAGATGCATGTAAGGCTACAAAAGAATGGCAGTTACTTTGGGTCAAAATCCATCTGCAAAACCATCTTTTTACATTTCCTCCTTTTTAACCTGTCACGCAATGTCTATAGTTCAGGCTCCTATTGGTGCATTTGCAGCAGAAAATTTTGAAAAATATGTAATACAGCTTGCAGAGGTCTCTGGTGCAAAGCTCTTGGGGTATTCGCACTCACAAAGAATAAATGGTTCAAGTTGTGAACCGGGTACTGTTGTCAGTGATTTGGAGGTGACTGCCTGTGGATTGCAGGGGAAGTATTTTTGATTGGGTACCTATAATAGGTTGAAGTATAGCAGCATTTAGCCAAAGAGTGTGGGTAAAATAGAAGAAATAGAACTAAAAACTCATGGAATTGTTGCCCTGTTATGGGTACAGAATAGACAAAAACAAAAATGTAAGATCTGTCATGAAATTTAGTTCAATGATGAGACCAAACAGTTGGGTTTTCCAGCTCAGAGCTGTGAGCTGAAAGATTTTCTGCTGCCTAGAGTGTTTTCAAGCTTTCTCAGAGTTGACTTCTAGAAGGACTTGTAGGGAAATGAACTTTTAATTTTTTCATTAAATAATCTCAGACAGATTCAGTACAGATTCAGTAAGCTGCATACCTCCTCACAGTGAGTTAATTCCACTTCACTATAAAGTGTGTATGCCTATTCTTTAAAAGGGCAGCTGAAAGATGCCACCAAGATTAGCACTGAGGAACTTGCAAAGCTTTTCTTTTTGATCTTTGAGTTCTGTAGTAAATACACCAGGCATGAGGGAAAAATGTTTTAAAGTAATTCTAGAGATGGGCCATGAATTCTGATGCAGACTTTGAATTTCTTGACGCCAGACCACAAATTTCAGAATGCTCAAATTTGGCCTTTGAGCAATTACAGAGGGAAGGCATCTCACATTTTCAATTACACATTTTTATATATATATACAGGTTTAATTTTCTTTATTTTCCCTCTTCAAAGGCACAGAAGTGTACATCTGGAAATCTAGCTGAGGTCTTCCTATAACACCTCTGTTAAAAAGTCCATGAAAAGTAATAATTTTAATTATGAGCAGATGACTTTGTTAGTCCTGTTGTTTGTCGAGACAAGAATATTAGAAGACTTGTACCTGAATATCACAACTAAATGGCAAAAACCTTCATACAGTTGACACAGCTTTAGTTCTGAAGTATGATAGGCATTGATAGTAATAAAATAGTCCTGTGAGCAATACTGTAGAGTTGCCCCCCTATTTTTTTGAAGGCTGATTGGAGGAGGCTTTGATTTATACAAACACACGCCATATCCCTGTATATAAATGTACGTGTAAGAGTTTAAGAACGGCCCTCCCCGTTCTGCACTTTACAGAGCCACTTTTCTCAGAATTGTCTGCTAAGTGGAACTGGACAGTGCCCCGTTTTCAGCTGACTCTGTGGAAACTACAGCAGTGCTGGCCTTTACCAGATGTTACTTGCACAGCTCATTTCCACACTGTTTTTCTGCTCTGCATATCTCTATCTCCTGCCCATTGGGTTACTGTGATGCCATCAGCATTTTTTAGTCAGTTCAGGGACAGGTAATAGGTCTTACCTTACTTCTTTCCTTCTCTCCCATCAGATGATTTAGCTGATCTGCAAATGGCAAGATTTGTAAACCAGGAGTTGTTTACAAGGTTGTCTGAGGAATCCAAACAAGTAAATTCAGATTTTGTTTATACCATCCTCGTGTCCTTATGCGCTGTCTTAAGTTCTCTGAGCTGCGTTCTTGTTACACCTGGGGGGGAAAAAAATTAAAGGCTTAATTTTACATGTTTTATTTCTTTTATTTCTGCTGCCTGTTCACAATGATTCATTAATAATTCATGGAAAAAACCCTATGAACTGGCAGCATGGAACAAAATGTAGGCAATGTAGCCTTTCTTTGTGAAGGGACATTTGTTGAGCCCTAGCAGTGCTATGTTCAATTCTGTAATGCTTGTTACAGAGCAAGTGCTTTCTAGCTTAACCATTCCAAGCAGAATTCCTAATCAGTGAAGTAACAAAGTAATGACCACATTCCTTTTGGGTTTTTTTGTGCACTAGATGAGAAGGATATACAAAATACAGACGTCTATCTGCGAAATATATTTTTCCTTTGTGTGTCCTTCTTAAGTAAGACCATGTAGATAAAAAGCTGAAGTGGAGTTAAAAAAGGAGGTTCACTAGCAGCTTAAGGGGACAAGAATTTGATGTCTAAATGAATGTTCATGTCAGCAATATTTTTGACAACCATTTTCTGTTGTTCACATAGACTTTGAATGGTGACTAGGATGAAAAATAAATTTTTAATTTTTTTCCTTGCATATTTCCATTAGGAAATATGGATTATTTCCTAACTCTTTCCAAATTCTAACCAAACTCCCTTAAAAAAAAAAAAAAAGAAAAAAATGGTTTTTTTACATAATTGCAGACAACCATCAACAAGTCCTCCCACTTTAGAAGTAATCATCTATTTGAATGTCTATATTATATGTAGAAATGTAAGATGCATCAGCTATTCTGGCAAGAAAATAGAGGACATTTTTAGATGGCATGAATGGAAGATGCAACGTTTTAAAAATACGTAGAATGTGCATTCTGCTAAAGGTATCTACTTTCTCCGTGTGCATGTTAAACTCGTAAGCATATTCTTGACTTTTCACTCTTCTGCTGACTTTGGTGAACAGATAAATTTGAATTTCACTGCTGATTTTTTTTAGTGTTAAGAGAGCAATTTATGCTATTCTAGAGTCTGTGAGAAGATGAAATTTTTCAGATTTTTCTGATTTGTGTTGTTGCCTAAGGTAATATTTTGAGACTGGGATTGAATATTGTTTTCTTAATTAACTTAAGCTCTGGTCCTTTAAGAAGTATATAGTATTTTTAGCTTTTAAAGTATGACAGTCCAAAGCAAGGTTTTTTTCAGGAAAGCAATGAAAACATTTATCTCCATTCTGTCCTTTGATTTATAACTTCAAATATAACAGATAAAATGTGCAGGCAAATGAAAATCTTGGTTTGCAGTTCTTCGATCCATTCACCCAAACACACAAGCCCTGGAAAACAGCAAAATGCTTGTGTTCAGCCCCAAACAGTGGGTACATCCATCTTGGTGGAAGTTACACTTTTTTCAGTCCTTTGCCAATATAACTATAAAAAATAGAAGTAGAAACCAGCTAGTTCCTCAGCCTCAGAGGTCACAAGCACTGGTGAGTGCAAGTTCTGCTTAAGTGATAAAAGCCATCTCAATTTTTGAGCCATGCAGATTGGAAGTATTTTAAGTCCTACAAGTTCCCTAGGAGTAAACCATCAACCTTTGGAGCCCATTGTGTATTTTGTTCTTAATCCTTGGTTATATATCTGTTAAGCCTTACAAGAACAGCAACTCTGGAGTTTTCCATCGTTCTGTGCTTTTGGTATATGGCAGTATGGTAAATACGTGCTTGTGGAGCCTGATGAAATGCTTGTACCATCTGGCCTATTTCTTTTGTGAGGTGTATCTGTAGTGAAAACTTCACCTCTATCCTGACTCTTTCTGAGTAGCAGATCATTCTTTTCAGTTTGTTGTAGTTTTTTAAGTGAAGGAGAAGCCATAATGATAACACAGCTCTCTGAAAACCCAGATAATGCGGAGGTGAAATATATACCGAATTAGAATTCAATGGAAGGGGACAGGGGAAAAAGATTGGAAAATTTTCAACAAATGATAGAATAAACAGCAGCAAAACACACTGAATAAGTCTGGAGGGTGGCCAGTTGTAAATACTTGTGGACTATTTTGTTTGGTTTGGTTTTCTTAGGAAATCTCACAGTATATGATTTATCTACAATTCAAGCTGCTGTCTTAGGTGAAAATCTTAACTTTCACCGCAAATAAACTTTTCTAGTTTCCTGGTAAAGTTTTCTAGCT